TAGGTAATGTACTCTCTTTAGCAGGGATTCCCATCATTTCATGGATCTCTGTCATATTATAAAGTTATTAAGTAGAGAGGAGCTATATTGAGATGACAGAGGTACCTATATATTTATTATCCAATGATTACGTACGAGGGAAACTAGCAAGGCAAAAGAAATTCCTGAAATGCAAGTTTAACCAGCTGCTTCACTATAAGTTAGGCATACCTCACAAACAGTGCAATGCCATCTTGTCTCCACATGGTGCTTGCACTCATTGCAGGCAGTTGTGCACAAAACGGTCCTGGCTCTGTGTATGCAGCTCTACTAGCATACACATAGTTGACCACATTGCTCTTCGTAGTGAAGAAAACTCAAGATGTTTGTCTCTAGCAAGGGTAAGGAAGGCATCACGCCCATCCATTAAATCACATGGAATAAGTGGGTCAGGTTCAATGATGGGAGGCAGAGAGTTGGCTTGAGGACCAGCAATGAGACGGATCACAAAGAATACCTGTAAAAGAGACAGGCCCGTTTTAGGTTCTCATCTAAGCCACATTCTTTGAATATAGAATGTTTCATGGTTTATGCTTTTAACGCCAGTGTTAAATGTTTGTATAGGTTACAGGTTTCAGACAGAGCATTTAATTTTTTCAATTTCATCAAGTACATTATTATAGTAATATAATTTGTAGCAATCCTTCTACCATGTACTAACTAAACACTGAAATGCAGTCAATTTAGCTTTCTTTAGTGATCCAGTTATAATCAATGGCAAGTAGGTGGTAGTACAAGTGAATCAGGGCTTAGCTAAAATGTGATTTTATTTCATCTTACCTGGAAATTGTAAATTATTGGTTGAATTTGTATAGAATAAGTCAGAGCGAAAAAAATATGTCATTTTACAACTTTGCACTGTGAATCCAGGCAATATTTCATTACAGTTAAGAGGGAAGAAAGTGTCAAACAATATCTGTTATTTAAATAAAACAGATAATTTTATTTTCTGAACATAATTAATTCACAACCATTAGGCTATTTTGGTGATTTAATAAAGTCAGATTAAATCAGATTAAAACTGGTTATTTTAATCTGATTGAATTAATTGTGGGATAGACTGTTTTCCTCCATTATATATCTTACACATGTTTTTTCTTGTATGTGCTTTAGACTGTAAGCCCATGAATATATTTTACACTGTACTCCAGAGGCGGATTGCTGCTGATTTGGCCCGGTTCGGCTGAACTGGTAGTAGAATTCAGGCCTGGGTCGCAGAACCGGCAGTGACCCATGCCTGCCACGCCCCTGAGCCGGTTTCCTTGCTCTCGCTTGTCCGGCGCCATTTTGAATTTTGGTGACTGCGCATGCGCAAAGCATGCATACGTTCGGCATGGGTTGCGAACCAGCAGTAATGCCGGCAAGCAACCCACCCCTGATGTACTCCAAGTTCAAGAGCATGTTTCATTGGCTTTTTAGTCACACTTGCCAACTTTGTCTTACATTTCCTTCACCAACCCCACCCTTCCAAATTCATTTTAGGAGGCCCGGGAAATGTTTACTTTATTCTTACCTCTTTGTGCTTTTCCATAGTGGCATAGAGTTTCTGGGAAAGATCATTGGAGACATTGGGCATGCCTGGCTTCTTTTTGTTACCACGACTTAAGCTACTTTTATTTTTACTGGTCTTCTTGTTGTTTTTCTTTTTGGCATTTTTACTATCTCCTTTGCTAACCTGAAAATGAACATAGCAAAGTTTGAGAGTGGCAAACTAAATTTCATTTAAGGTCTTGCCCTTCCCAGAAGACCTGAAGAATCAGTTCAAGAAAACCTTTATTAATTCAGCCCAGACAAACAAGACTTATTATAGCCATGTCTTCATCTCAGTACAACAGGATTGGGAAGATGGCACATGGAACATCCTTCTAGACATTTTAATGTTATTAAAGTGCCTCTGGTTGGGCCTGAGTCATTTGCTCCTCTGCATCAATTAATTTATCAACATTTCTGGAGCAAAATATATCATTTATTTTATCTTTCTTCTACATTTTAAAATGTCAGAGATGAATTTTTGATAGAAGCTATTTTCTTACATCAGTGCTCTCATTGCTAGTGTTCTCTTCCCTTTTCCTCTCTTCCTCCTCTTGCTCCAATTCCTTAATGCTCTCTTCTAGAACATTTGGCCAGAAATCTCCTTCAAAGTAGGGCAGCTCCTTTGCACTTGTTAGACGGTCTTCTGTTGCTTGCTTAAAAATATCCTGCAACACAAAATATTTTTCAGCACATGTTTAACAACGTGAAAACAGTAAAATAAGTGTCAATTTTTATTTTTTGTTACTTTTAAAATAACAAAAAAGCAAAAACAAAAAGGAATAAAACAAAAACATACAGATATTGTAAAATAAATGCATAAGAAGTCCATAAAAATAAATGAAAAAAACACAACAGAAAACTAAAATGAAAAAAACCTCTCCCTTACATACCCACACACAAACTGTTCAGACCTGCAGCATTTTCAACTTATCAAATATTGAAACCTGAGATACCAGAACAACTAGTTAAATCTTTTAAAATTTTGAAAAAGTCCTCTATTACTGGTTTTTATCAATAATTGTTATCAACAAGTCAATTTGATATGCAGACATTAAGAGATGAGTTGAATATAGAATTAGAGATCCCCCTACATTGCCTTGCCCAGTAGCCCCTAATATTTTGGATGTCAGGGACCAGTTCTGTGTGTGTGGGGGGGGGAACTTCTGCAGACCAAGGGAATCATTGTTTCATGTATCCCCTAGATCCCACACATGCACATATGAAATTTCACTCGCTTGTGTGGACTGGTTCCTAGTGGACAATGGACTAGTACCAGTCTGTGACCCCAGGGGATCCCTGGCCCAGACAATGGAAGAGTGTCTTCATCTCTATATTAGGAGTGTGGATGTACCTTGAATTATGACTTACAATTCTAAATAATATTTAGAATTTATTAGACTCCATTATAATTGTATAGATAGAGACTATCTAAGAAAGCATTTTGTTGGAGATATAATAAGGACAACAATTCTTTAAAACACCTATTTTTATAATGTTCTATAATTACTAAAATTTTTGGAGAAAGTAATGGACCATATAAATGTGATTGTGTGGAAAAAGCTAAAATTTTCAAAGGTTAATATTCTTTTAATCTAAATATCTAATACATGGAACTTGACAACTGGACAGTGTAAAGGGATTCTCTCTGCCCTTATTATGGCTAAAAAACTAACACTGCAGCATTAGAAAGATGCTTGTATGTTCCCATTCTCTCAATGGATTGAAATAGAGGTCCCCAACAGCCAGGCCACGACCCACTACAGTGACCTGTTTGGAACTGGGCTGTGGAAGCAGTGGGCTAGTACATGTGCAGTGTCACTCCTGTGAGTAGCGGGCACATGTGCAGCTCCAATTGTGCGAACTGCAGGTGTGCATGCTCGCTATTTGCGCAAATGGAGTTGTACACACATGTGCACCTGCCCACTATTCAAGTAGAACCATCTCCTCTCCCCCTTTCCCAATGGCCTACAAAGCCGGAAAGGTTGGGGATCATTGGATTAAAGACCTGATTATTATTGACATTGATGAAAAGATTATAGATGTAGACAAATATAATTAAATATGGGTTTAATTGATTAAAAAAATATAGTAGTAAAAAACACAATAGCTATATAAATATATATGCTTGCATGTTTGCATTAGATAAATATATAAAACTGTAGGTATTTATTGTTGTAATGATATATTATACTTTATAAGGTCCAATTTCTTAAGTCTTCTCAATCTATATTACGTATCTTTTAGATTTTTTTCTTATTTAATGCACACTTGGAAATGCAGAAAGATGAAATGTTATTTCTACCACCCCTATCTCAAATAAGCTTCATAAATATCAAAACTAGATATGAAATATTGCTTTTCAAAGATTTTTATACTTTTCTGAAGTATTATGACTTAGGAATAAACAGGTAAACAAATATGATACTTCAACTAATGCACAACCAACCTTATAATCATGGACAATGCGCTCTGTCACGGATTTATCCAACATCTTTTTATACCATTCTTGCAATCGTTTTGGTTTGGGAATTTTTTGATCAGGAGGATGGCAATGGAAAATATAATCATCTCCTTCACTAGGTGGGCAGGCCCAGATATGTCCAGTTGTATAGCTAATAGGGAAGAAGTTATTAGTTTCATTATACATTATTTGAAATATACTTATTTTATTTAATCAAATACTTATTTTTCAAATCAAGTATGTACTCCACAATATAGCTGACTCTGAAATATTCCAACTATGTCATATCTGAAAAACTCAGAAGTAATAAATAAAATGGGACTGAGAAGCTTTATAGACAAAAATACTTTCTGATGTAGAAATGAATTTGGGGGCCTCCCCAGAATACTTGTGACCCGTTTTCAAATTTCCAATAGCTGCACTTGCTTTCACTCTTATTCCCTCTCATGTTATTGATTTTGGGCACTTGGCAATTGAGTTCCATGTATACCCATTTGCAATGTCTCATGACTGTGATTTTCATGCTTGGGGGTGGGGGTGGGGAACTTCCAGGGTTTACTTCCATTTTATTACAAAAATGTCCAATCCTGAAAATGGGTTTACTTAATGATTTCTGCAAAAAAAGTTATAAAGTTGAACATGGTCACATGCAGACTCGCTTAATGACATGATTGTAATTTTGGACTCAATTATGATTGTATTTCAGGACTACCAGTAATCATATAGGATTCTATAGCCTGATGAACAGATAGAACTGCTAATAAGACAAATATATTCTCTTCCCTTGGAAATTGTTCACACTATCTTTTCTGCATGTTTACCAAATAATTTCTTTAATTTATATTAACGATTAGGATGTACATCTTCCACTTCTTCTATTTTTAGAATCATATAAAAATCCTGTTCATAAATACAGACACACTTGACACAAGACATGCTTAAGCTGCCACTGAAAAGTTATTTTTCCAAAATCAAAATTAGTTATAATTGAGATAAACCAAGAAACAAAGCAATGAATACAATTAACTGCATGTCTCCGCTCACAAATACCCAGAAAAGCACCATAATGATGCAAGTATAATCAGAATTTCCTTTTATAAGAATAACAGTTTTTATATACTGTCTTTTCTTTAAATTTTCTTTCCTAATTTTAAACTTAGATTAAAACTAGCCTAACACTTATCACGCATAATTTAGCCTTAAATTTCTCTTCCAAAACAATGAAAGCATTAACAAAGGATTTAATAAAGTGCTACCAGTATTCTAATGTAAATTAAGATCCACACACTACTCTCAGGTGATCCATGTAAATTACAGTTGATCTTTATAATATTAACATAAATTAACTGCCTTCATGACAGTATTTCAAGAATTATTTCATTTTATTCTTCTCTAACACACAATCCTCACTTGGGACTTTCATATACCCATTCTTCAGGGATGAAACCAAAAAAATCCCATTCTTATTTGCTATTAGTAGTGTACTAATCAAAGCACATCTACACCCAATATTTTAAAATACATGCTGAAAATATACTTATCTTCTGACTGCTAGAAGGGATTGGCAATATAGTCTAGAAACATCTTATTTGGTGTTCAACAGACTTTCTGTCCACTTGACCTCAATACAATTGACTTTACAATTTTAAATCTGTTCACTAACCCAAAAAGATTCCATGTTTCTTTTATAAGTTGCAATACATAATCGCATACAATGTAATAAAATAGGAAACTTACCCCAACTTCTTAACATACTCTAGGTAACCTATCAGAATTTCATGATAGACAGCAGTCCTCAGGCATTTAGGGCGGAAGAAATGAACACTGTCAAGGTAAGATATGTATACTCGCCTAAAGAAGAGAGAAAATTCATAAGCTATAACCAGAAACATTTTGCAGTATTCAATTATTTCCTTTTTCTTCCATTAAGAAATTTGCCTTGACTTCATCTTTCATAGCCTCTTTTTAAAACTAGTGCCATAGTTAATCTAACTATGTTTACTTATTTCTCATATAAGATTTTAAAACTATTAACACACTCAGCTCTGGAATAATGTAATTCCTATGGTAGGGTCTGCCATGCAAACTGGCAACTTTGCTTCTGGAGTAATTCAAGTTGCTGAACTTATAAAGCTTGGGATTGGCACTGGGTCCGGTTCTTGAGGGATCACCTATCTCTCAGAGTACCTGTCCAGTGGGTTTGATCTGGCACGGTTGGCACATTCCAACTTTGTTTAAATAATGCCACCTATTAGACCCTTGGAAATGTGCCTGATCTCTGGAATGAGATTCCCCCCACCCCACCCCAGCCTGCACTCTACTCGTGATTTAGCTCTTTGCCCGGTGCTTTGGAGCAGATGAATGGCACCTCTTTATTCTTTTCCTTGTTTCCCTCCAGATTTATTTTCCTTCACCATCTTCGGGTTTTTTAATCTTTGTTTTTATAATGTTCTTTATCTGCAAATGTTTTTCACAACTGTAAACTGCCAGAGCAGGTGGAATTTGGATAGCATATCTATCATCTATCTATCTATCTATCTATCTATCTATCTATCTATCTATCTATCTATCTATCTATCTATCTATCTATCTATCTATCTATCTATCNATCTATCTATCTATCTATCTATCTATCTATCTATCTATCTATCTATCTATCTATCTATCTATCTATCTATCTATCTATCTATCTATCTTACTGATAAATACAGAAGTAATTCTGAAGAGTTCAAATCATGTTTGGCCCTAAAAGAATGAACTTTCAAGGAATTAGAGACTGCATATTGTGATATCTTTTGTACTTGAACTAAGCCACTTTATCATTTTGCTTGAATTAGAAGGCTGTGGTTTCTACTTAGTTTACAAATTAGTTTACAATTAGAAGACTGTGGTTTCTACTTAGTTTTGTTTTCAACCTAAATCAAACCAGTTTCCCATGGCCCAAAGCAGCAAATGTTAGCTTGACTTCAAACAATATGGGTAACTGGAGAAGAACAGTTTCAATTCCACAGTTTATTCAAAATGCACTGTTCTAGCAGCAAATTGTAATAGTTTGTGTTTACACAGTTCCCAAAATTGCTGAAATACAAATCTCTTTAATAACCAAGAAGCCAACCCTAGCTGTTGACATGCTAAGATGCAGTCACTATTACAATAGCAACACATAACACTTTTTAATACTCCAGTGTTTAACTTTACTGTAACTTACATTATCAGGTAGAATTTGGGAACAAAAGACATAAAAATGGGCATATATTGAAAATTTAGGTCACCTGTCCATTAAAATATTATCAATATGCATTTTCCCATTAAAATATACCATCATACTTGCTATTGCTTGGTCCCAAAAGTTCCCCAAAACTATTTCCATACAAATGGAAAACTAATGTAAATATGTTGGGCTTTCTAAAAAGTGTAAATTATGCTTTCTCCTAGCATTTCCCTATATATACTTTAATCATTTTTTTTCTTGTTCTGATTATGTTACATAGTTGCTAAGCAGTAGTACTGTGCAGGTCACAGCTCAATATCAGCATTCTTCCATCTTTATTTTCTGCAAAAAGAAGTAGAGACCAAGAAAAGAAATTCTTCAACTTCTTTCTGAGCTTCTTTATCAAGCATTAACTCTAATTAGAAGTCAAATATTTTACTTTTTTACTTCAAAACGGTGGATTTTCTCTGTTTAGCAAAAGCATTTATCTCTAACAATTTTTTGAAGGAGAGAAATAGCTTATCAAAAATTGTGAATCAAGCTGTCTTTAAAAAAGAAAATGCTCCTAAATAATTCCTTAAAATAAACAGTGTTAAAATGAAATCTTCCTGTTAAGTATGTGGGAATGATTCAATCTTGGAGAAAGACAAGTAATACAGGCAAGAGAGGGAGGGGGAAGATATAGTAAAGGGTATATACTTGACCAGTTACAAAAAGATCAATTTCTTAGGCATTTATGTAGCAATAATCTAATTTTTAAAATTATAACAAAAATGATTTTATTTTTTTAATACCTCTGGTTGGGTTGAGGGCAATCAGACCCATACTCCTGAACATGCATGCCAAAAAAGCATAAATCTACACCATCAATCTCCTCAAAAGCAAAGAGTGCTTTTGTTCGGTAAGGGAATTGTTCAGCCATCTCTCCACTATCTACAAATCTGCAAAATTAAAAGGCATAACGTAAAGCAATGCTACCAAATTTAATACTATCATTCATTATAAGATACTATAATATGCAAGTTGTCCAAACATATGTTTTTAGAATTTTATTTTAATAATTTATTTATTTTTATCTATTTTGTTATGCTATATTTTAACTCTCTCTATGGGAATCATTTATAGTAAAACAACCAAACCTAACTAAAGTCATTCAAAAGTACAGAGCATTGTAGCAATCTGGCAAAATATAAATCAATCAATTACACAAATAAATAAATAAATAAATAAAAAGTTTATTGGTCCACCTTTTAAATAAACTTGTTATTTGATCTTCCAACACCTAATTTTTGCCATCTCCTTCCAAATCTCTTTAAATCAATAATATTCTGTTTGAAAACAGCTCAAAATATGCAATGTTGCGCTAATCACTCAAAATGTTTAAAAATGAAACTATCAAATGCTATGGCTGTAAGTTCTTTTGACTAACAAAATAACATTTTATTGTTTAGACAAATGCACCAATAACACAATTTAATATTCAGAAAGAAAAAAAATCACGCCATCCTAACATTTAAGGAAAAGTACCTTGCTTTCATTCCAGGTTTAACTTCTACAGTTTTTTCTGAGGTATGAACCACCCTAACAATGACTTCACCCGACTCAGGATGATTCTGTCGTCTCAGGAACTCATTCACTCTGTTTTCCAAGAAGGTACCAAGTCTAGTAGTTGGTAATCCTACAAAAATGAAGATTGCTTAATTGTTTGTCATTACTCTAGCAACAAAATAGTGTGGGTTAGAAAGTTACAAGTATTTGCCTTGCTGAGCAAGTAAAATTTACATTTTGTATTAATTTACAACTTAAAAGTACATACTGGAATTACACCAGCAATAGGTTTCAATTAACATAATACAGCCTCATCTTTAAAAAGCTCCTGTGTCATTCTTTACTTAGCTAGGAAAATGCTGCACCAGGAATCTCTAGGGATGAAGTCCAGGTAAGAAAAGAAAAAAGAAAAATCAAAGATAAAGCATGTCCAAGCTATTGCCAAATGAGATTTGACATACTTTACTTCCTAAGCAAAGAAAGGAAACTCATCTAGAATATATAGCAAGACAATGAGTTTGTTCTAGCCCAAATTCAGGAAGATGTTGAAACCAGAACCATCAGATTGGGATCAGTAAGTGGGAATCATCTGAATGGAGAAAAATGGGAATTGAAAAATAAACTTATAAAATAAATTGTTATCCTTAAGTTTATTATTTTCTATTTTTCAAGAACTAAGTTTCCAAATATATCTTGTCATGGCAGGTTATCAAAAATCAAAGATTTTTATGTTTGTCAGGTTTTTTAATTATAAAATGATTGACAATAAATCTCCAATTTATTAAAGACATATGTTCCTCAAAGAGAAATACTGCTGGGATTCAATACTGGAATCGTTGATCAGATGAATAGACTGCAATTCTTTTTCTTCAGAGTATGTTATAAAAAAGGATGGATAATGCTTATTATGCCATACAAAGTTAGTAAGGATGAAAGCCCTAAAACATAATTTGTTAATAGAATTCATTGAAAACAATGGGACTAATTCCTCAAACAGTACAAGCTATCCTTACTTAATGACTGTTCATTTTATGATTATTTGAAGTTACAAGGACCACAGAATGGTGCTTTATGCTGGTAAAGCACCGCTGGCTGTTATAAATTGGTCAAGTTGCCCTTCCTCTACAGTCATAAGACTGCATGTTAGGTGGGGTCAGCTTTATGACCATTCATGGCATTCCACAATCACAGGACCCACATTTGTGATAGTTTTTGCCTGACAAAAACTACCCCACTGAAATGAATGAGTTCACTTAACAACCGTCACAGAAAAAGGATGGAAAATTACTGTGGGTTCCTTGATTTATGACAACAATGACTTATAATTCCAGGCTCAATTATGGTCATACATTAAAGAGTACCTGCAACTTCTGAAAATCTAGCTACCTATTTAGAATAGCGGCTATCCTTCTGTATGTCAAACATCTGAAGTCTCTGCCAGATCACAGAATCCTCTCCTGAGTGAAACTCTTCTTACAAAAGGCTTCAGGAAATACTACTTCAAGCTTGCTAGAATTAGTTTTATTTGGCTCCTCCAGAATGTTGTTTTCATTCTACTTTTTCTAAATACATTCATTTAAAAAAGCAAATAGAAATAAATATGAGAAATGCACCAATCTCTACTTACTTCTGGCAGAAAATTTGTTCTCTCTTCGAGTTCGTCCTGATTTTTTTAGGCAGCCATCACAGACAAAGCTACAACAGAAGAAAATAATTTAAATTCCCATATTTCTCCCCTGCATTTTCTAGTATATGATACTTATTATCAAACATGGATTGCAAACTGTTACTGAACAGCCTAAATTAGACTTGCTCCATTATATCAGAGTCTGATAAACACCCAATTTCACCTGATGTAATAATATATAACATCACTACAGATTGTCAATGACATAATGACTATTCATTGAATGACTCTTTGAAGTCATAGTGGGGCTAAACAAAGTGACTTACAACTAGTCCCTGAAATTACAACCACTGCAGTGCCCCTGCGGTCACTTATCAAAAATTGTTGCAACCCACATGCACTTACAACCACAGGGACAACTCCCCCACTCCCCACATCAACTGCCCATCTATGTCTTTGTGGCCCTCTGCAGGTCCTTGCTGCCTTAGCTGATCTTTGCCGACTTCTTGTTTCTGCTATTGATCAAGCTTGTCTGGCTTGGCCTTTTGCAACGCAGTTGCTGACCCTGGTGTAGATGCCCTCACAGGGACAGCAACTGTTTCATGAAATGCCAGGCCGGGCACACCTTGTCCCTACTGGAATTTTTTAAACATTGTGCATAGAAACTAAAATTAAATAGCCATACTAATATCTTGCTCATGGTCACTCACTCATGCCTTTGTAAGTTCCTGTTTGGATTTCTGCAAGGTACTCTACTTAGGGTTGCAGTTTGAAGATCAATTGAAAATTACAAATGGTCCAGAATGTGGCTACACACACAATGATAGGTGTTCCTTTGCTGTGCAAGCTGCACTGGCGCCTGATTTCCTTCTGAATACAATTCAAGGCGCTGGTTATTATCTTTAATAATATGGAAGTAGGACCAGGTTATTAGTGCAACTGTCTTTCCCTAAGGTCATCTACCCAATTCTATCAGATCAAATAGTGTGAGCACACTTCTAACTCCTTCCCTTAAACCAGTGTTTCCCAAAGTGTGGTACGCGTACCCCCAGGGGTACGGGAAGAGTTTGGTAGGGGTATGCGTTGCACCGGAGTTTGGATCACGTGGGAATATCCACTGCACCGTGCTTAGCTGCACCCATAGAACAAGGAAAGAAATCTATACTTTGTACGGGCTCTGGGG